GACTGCTGTAGCTGAACCCAGGACATATTCCTTCTCTTGCATGGAGGAAGGAGCATCTTTATATGTGGATTTCCTAATTGTAATGTTTGTATGCAGGAAAGATAAGACACGTGTCTGGTTTTGAGACTTAAACTGCAGTTTCTGCTCTTAGGGGGCAATGGCAGTGAATGGGTGAAACACTGGGTGAGAGGAGGCTATCACTATTATCATAACCTGCGGACCAAAGAGGGAGGATGGGATGAACCAGCAGAATTTGTACAAAATGACACGCAGCTGTCACGGGAGGAGATACAGGTAGGGTAGATGACATATGCTCTTTATCTGAAAAGTTGATGTCCCTACCGTTCCCATCCTTAATGGACTTCTAAGAGAGAATGCTTCAATACCATAGTCATGTTAACAAACTTAGTAACTCGTGTATTTCACTGAGCACCATCAGATTGTGTGTGTTAAAACTCCTTGTCCCATTTCAGAAAAAATTGTCCTGTTGGTAAAAGGGTACAGGACCATGGTGTTGCTGCTTATTGAAAGGCAACCTTGAAGTTTCTCTTAAGCACAATACAGAAAGCTGATGGAACATCTTGTTTCTTGTATCTCCATTGGGTCACATGGTTTAGTGTGAGGTGTCCCTGCCCATGGCAGGGGAGTTGGAGCTAGGGGATATTAAGGTCCTTTCCAACCCTAACTATTCTATGATTCTATAACGTTAATCCAGAGCACCATATCTGGAGTCACTGCGGCATACAACCGAGAACAGTTGTGGCTGGCCAATGAGAACCTGATAACAAAACTTCAGGCTTGCTGCCGAGGATACCTTGTTCGCCAGGAATTCAACTCAAGAATGAATTTTTTGAAGAAACAAGTCCCAGCAATCACTTGCATTCAGGTAGTGATATCCTTTAACTATGTTTGAAACTTGTTCTCTGCAACTGTTTTCTGCACACAAGCTTATTGACGGTTTTTGTTCAATTCAAGCAGTTAAAGCACACAATTGTCTTTACCTCATTTTGCAGATTATCTAAAGCATTTCCTTCTACCAAGGAATTTTTGTATATTATTTACTTTTCAATGTAATACATAATCAACAAAGTCTTCTGAGGCAGAATTAGAGAGAAAAAAAACTTACTCAAGGAAGCTTTACTTATTATTGTATTATCAGATTCAGTGTTTTGGGCATAATGCAATATGAAGTGTGTCGTATGTCTTTATGTGATAATACTGTGCGATAAGTTACTGCTATGATTCCTCATGAATTGAAGAGAAACAACATGGTTTTCAGTATTCCTGAGTAAGATTATTCTTCTCGTCAAATTTGTCCAGAGATTTGGAGGATTGAGGACCTAAAAGAAATGGGAGGAAATTTCAGCATGAGGTTGGGCGCATTTACAGGAGAACAATGAAAAGATCTTTCTCTGGTGTTGTAAATGAAATGTGTGCAAGTGAAAGCCATGCTTTGCACCCTATACCCCTTTATCGTTTGAGTAGTATATGAGTGTTTGCTTCTACCTAAGCAGCATTTGCTCTGCGTATGTATTTGGGGGGAAAAAACAACCAAACCACAATAAAACCCCCAAAACCACTCCTGGCTTATTAAATGTAGTCCAACCCCTTGCCTAACTTGTTTTGCAAGTATTGGTAGCAGTGAGTCTGTTCCCAAGCCTTATAATGATACATCACTCTTTTCACCAGCAGCAGCATCAAAGTCATGATCCCCATGTATAACAGTCAGAAGCTGAGGAGCAAAAAGAAGCTCAGATTTGTAATTACTTCTCTTTAACTAGAAAAGTAAAGTCAGTGCACCAATTTTCTGTTTTCAGTCCCAGTGGCGTGGCTACAAGCAGAGGAGGGCATATCAAATCCGTTTGGATTACCTGCGAGCACAAAAGGACCAAGTAGTGAAGGTAGTGAAACCTCACTTGTTGACCTTTTTGGTAAACCTTTTGGGAGGTGAACTTCAGTAGGAAAGGTTTTTATCCAAGTATCTTGGTTACTCTTCTACAGATTCAGTCAATGACCAGGATGTATCAAGCCAGAAGACGTTACAGAGATCGTCTGCAGTATTTCAGAAACCATGTAAGAGGCTTTCTTGTTAAATGAATTCAGTACCTGACACTTGTATTATTTCCAGAATGAAGTCAAATGCTTTTTCTTTTCAACCCTAGATAAATGATGTTATAAAAATTCAAGCCTTTATCCGAGCAAATAAAGCACGAGAAGACTACAAAACCCTCAGTGAGTATTGCCTAGAGGATAAAACTTATGTGCCTCAAATCTCTATATGCAAGGGATGTTGCTAGTGTGATCTATAGTATCAAGACAGTTTTGAAGAGTGATTGGGATGAAGTTGATAGGGCAGTATGGAGAGTAGGTGGTTCTGGAGGCTGATCGAAAACGTGATTCCAGCTGCTGCTTTTGCTGCTGAAAAATAGTACCATAGTTTTGGAGGTAACTTTGGCTGTGTGGACTACTCTAGGGCTGATACCGACTTCATTCTTTACTGTTGGCTTCTCTTGTGTTTTTTTCAAAACAAATTCAAAGTGTCAAAATCTGTTTAGACATGGTGGTGCTTATTTTACTCTGTCTGCTCCTTAATGTACTGTTTAAACATAGAAAGGCATATATTTATTCCTGTTTCCTGCCCCCGGGTGTTTTCTTGTCTATTTTTAGTTAATGCTGAAAACCCACCTATGGCTGTGGTTCGGAAATTTGTCCACTTGCTTGATCAGAGCGACCAAGATTTTCAGGAGGAGCTTGAGCTAATGAAACTCCGTGAGGAAGTTGTAACCTTGATCCGATCCAATCAGCAACTGGAAAATGATCTCAATCTCATGGACATCAAAATTGGGCTGCTAGTGAAAAACAAAATCACACTGCAGGTAGGATATGTGCTGATGGGAGGCTGTCTACAGATTGAACTGAGCCCGGTGGTAGATACAGCATGGAGAGCTCCTGGCCTTGGATGTAGTTGCTCAGGCCCAGTGGAAAACATTGCCCCAGACCTGCAGGTTTTACTCCCAGTACGTTCACTCCATTCTGCTAATTTAGTATGTATCCTTAGAAAGAAGATTGTAGGAGGAGAAGAAACAGAACCTGAAGCTAAAAAAGACAAACGTGCACCAGACTGTCTTGACCTAATGAATACAACAGATTGTGTGTCTGCAAGCTTTTGAGAACTCTATTTTATGCTCCTTTTGTAGTTAATCAGGTGACAAGGTGCAAGCTTGCAGTGAGGGGGTGATTTTGAAGGCAGGAGACACGATCATGCTGCTTGGTGTTTGTTGGTTAAAGGAGGCCCCCTCCATTACTTGGCTGATGTGATGAATTTCACAAAAAAAACCCCAAACTATTGCTGGTATAGCACTGCCTTTTTTTCAAGCTGAAGTTCTGGTGAGCTTTTCATTTCATCCTGGGTAGCATGACACTAGGCTCCTCCCAGTATAAAATCTCAACTTGTATAGTGAAATTAATCTTGGAAGGAGGCTGCAGCTTTTGGGCTGGTGCCTTAAGCAAAAAGTGCCATTGCTGTTCGAGTATGTAGAGATAGCGAGCTAGGTGAGTATGAAATGGGTTTTCTAGGTTTTAAGCCAAGTTTAAAAGGGAAAACATTTTCAAGCATCTTCATAATGCTACCAGCTCTGATAGTCACTCTTGGCAGCAATAATAACCCTTCAGGGCTTTCAAATAAACTCAAGAAGTCAGAGACAAAGCAGAACATGTACCTAGAGTCAGAGAAATTGCTGCTATAGTAAATAATGCTTCACTTTCATAGTCCCACCGATAGCTTGACCCTACCTTTCCGTGTCCAAGACAAGTGTGTTCTCAGATACAACTATTTTCCAGTGTTGGCTGTTAAAAAATACTTGAGTGGAATCTGTCCCTATTCTTTCTTTTCAGGATGTTGTTTCTCATAGCAAAAAACTTACCAAGAAGAACAAGGAACAGCTCTCTGACATGATGATGCTGAATAAACAAAGGGGAGGTTTGAAAGCTTTAAGCAAAGAGAAGCGAGAAAAGCTGGAAGCTTATCAGCATCTGTTCTACTTACTTCAGGTAAGCAGCTTCAAATGCTGCTTGGTAACCTCTTGTTATAGTGGCTTATATGTCTTGGCACAGTCTTTGCTTACATACTATAGTTTTGAGCCACTCTAGTTCTTGGTGGCACTCGCCTGTGTGGAGGATGATAAGAGGATTGGAACACCTCCCGTATGAAGACAGGCTGAGAAAGTTGGGGCTGTTCAGCCTGGAAAAGAGAAGGCTGCGTGGAGACCTCATAGCAGCCTTCCAATATCTGAAGGGGGCCTACAAGGATGCTGGGGAGGGACTCTTCATTAGGGACTCTAGTGCTAGGACAAGGGGTAATGGCTTTAAACTTAAACAGGGGAATTTTAGGTTAGATACAAGGAAGAAGTCCTTCACAGCGAGGGTGGTGAGGCACTGGAATAGGTTGCCCAAGGAAGTTGTGAATGCTCCAACCCTGGAGGGGTTTAAGGCCAGGCTGGACAGAACCTTGGGCGACATAGTTTAGTGTGTGGTGTCCCTGCTCATGGCAGGGGGGTTGGAACTAGATGATCTTAAGGTCCTTTCCAACCCTAACTATTCTATGATTCTATGACATGCGCACTAAGTAATTTTTCTTGTTGTTGTAGACTAACCCAACGTACTTGGCCAAGCTGATTTTTCAGATGCCTCAAAATAAATCCACAAAGTTCATGGATTCTGTCATCTTCACACTGTATAACTATGCATCCAATCAAAGAGAGGAATACCTGCTGTTGCGGCTTTTCCAAACAGCATTGCAGGAAGAGATCAAGTACGTGGTAGCATAGAGCACATTCTTGCTGTTGAATCAGTTTTGACAATTTCTCAATTTGAGGCAGTTTTCACATTATATCTCATGCTAATATGCAGATAATGCTAACCTGTCCCTTCACTGTCCTCTTCCCATTTCATATCTGTTCTTAACATAGTCTGTAAAGGAAGAGTTGAGTATGTCCATTGAGGATGAGGGCTTTTTACTTCAGTCAAGATTTCACTGCTCAATACAGCAGCTACTTTGATGCAAAATCATCCTAAAATCCAGTCTAATCTAAGTTCCTCAGTGTCTTTTTATGCATACCTCCAGCAAACTGCAGACCTGGCCTTTACAAGCCAGGGAGAGAGCTAAGACTAAGCTTTCTGGATTTCCAAAAGCTGATGAGGAGGCTGAAACTGAGAAGCTTTGTTGTTTGGCATTGTTCTGTTTACTGTCAGTGTTAGTACTATGGCTATCCTCGGGCATGTTTCATTTGATTGGTTGGGCCTTAGGAGTTCCGTATTCCTTATGATGCAAAGCTGCACAACTTGCTGTGAAGAAGAATGTGCAATAAATTTTTTGAGGAACTACTCTTTAAGCATTCTTTGGAATGCTTTTTAAGCATGAAGATGGTATATTCCCTGAAACGGATAACTTCTAGAAGATTTTTTTTTTTTTTTCCTAGAAGACTTTTTCCCCTTAAATTCATGCTTGAAATACTGGTCCAGGAAAATGTAAGCACTTTGTTCACTGCTGCTGTATTCCTCTCAGTGGTATAGTAGGAGTGGCTGTTGTTGGGGTTTTTTTTTTGGTTGTATTTTTTTTTTTTTTTTTAAAATACTGGACGAAACCTGCTGGTTTTTTTTTTTTTCTCTTCTCTAAATAAAACATGCTGTGTTTCATTTGTGTGTTTGAACAGTATGCTCAATTATAGTTTACAGTTCCGTTTGCATCAGTTGTCATGGTGATGACTACTGGCAAATGACACTGGAATTCCCAAACAGAGGTTGAAAGTTTCTTGCCTCATCTGTTTTGAGAAGTGTTCCAGTATTGTTCTTATACAGTGTTGTAATTTATTGCTGTATTGAGATTTTAGTACAAATCTATCATCTGTTTTGTGAAGGTGATGCTCTTTAACAGT